AATAATCACATTTTTTATCCTCAAAATGACTGAAGACGGCCGCCTGCAACTCTTCATCGCTTGGAATTTTTTTTCCTCTTAAGTCCCGCTTTAAATTTGGAAATAAATAATAGTCGGACGGGGCCATATCTGGACTGTAAGGTGGATGTTGAACTTCTGTGAACCCGCATTGACGAACTGCATCCTTCGAAACACCAGCGGTATGAACAGGGGCGTTGTCATGGAGCAACAGGACAACTTTAGACAGCTTGCCTCTTCGTTTTTCCTTTATCTTGTCTCGTAATTTATATATTAAAGAAGCATAATATTCGCTGTTCACGACTGTATTACGTTCTTTAAAATCCACCATTAAAATGCCTTGAAAATCCCAAAATATTGTGCACATCAGTTTTTTAGTCGATTGTTGCACCTTTGCCTTTCTAGGGGCTTTTCACCCTTATAACGCCATTCCATTGACTCGCGCTTGCTTTGTGGATTATAATACAAGATCATAGTTTCATCACCAGTCACTAGCCGCTCGATCACAGTATTTGGATTTTCGCCACAAAGATCCAAAAACTCCGAAGCGCAGCGCACTCTTTCCTGTCTCTGTACCGCTGAAAGAAGTTTCGGTACCCATTTTGCACTCACTTTTTTCATGTGAAGATGTTCATGGATCGCGCGATGAACGGTACTCTTAGAGAGCCCAAGCCTTGCTGCAATTTCTATAATCTTCAAACGGCGGTCACTCAGAACCTCCTCTTCGATAAAAGTAATCGTTTCGGAAGTGAGCACTTCCACAGGTCGACCGTCGTGGCCAAAGTCTTCGACGGTTTCTCTCCCGAGGCGAAACTCTTTCACTCAATTTTTCACTGTGCTTTAAGAGGGGGCAGACTCCTTATACACACCATCCAATCGTTCTTTTATTTGGGCAGGGGATAAACCTTCTTTAAACAGAAACTTTATGACACTTCGATACTCAGTTTTCGACATTTTGAAAAAATACGCGACTCTCGTTATTCAAATGCCTGTTAAACTAAGACTAAGCATTTCATGTCGATGCATGTTTCTTATATTAAGTGCACGATAAACGTACTATTTAATGCAACACAACATGTAGCGACATGTCGCTTTGAACTATATCAGGCCAGTTCATTATGGGACCGCCTGGTATATGTCATTCTATTTCAATGATTGTATTATCATTCCTAATTACACAATATAACTGTTCCACATTTTAACGATATTTCCATAATTACTTCTTCTGCGGCAGCAATGCACCGGGTACGAGCTAGCAAAATAATATAAAAAATATAAACTTGAATTACATAGTTATCAGTTATTTACAACGTTGTACAACGTTTAGAAATTAAAATAACAATATTAAAAAAATAACAGAAATTATCATACAGTCCTACTTTCCGTGGTATTGTCCCAAGAATGCTGGCTACGTGTCCTCTCTGAATGGCTATACTTAGCCTTCAAGCGACGAAACAACAAACTAAACAACTTCTTATTACCAGCAGCGAAGATCAGTCGCAGATACAGTTTTTTAGGAACTACACTGCACGTGCACCCTACGGACCAATAGTCTCTAAAGCAAATTACACAAATATGTACTCATCTTCTAGATATTCTGGGCTATTTACTTAGTTTAGTTTCCTCTAATGCCACCTCTGCTTTAGACAAGGTACCCCTGAGATGGGATGCTGTCAAAGTGTTCGCAAGTAGTATCCCACACTAAAGCTTTATCTCTCTCTCTCTCTCTCTCTCTCAAGCAACCAAACCCATACCGTCGGGTCTCCTGGTATCGTCTCTAAATATTCTACAAAGATCTTAAACCGAGGAAACATTTATAGAGATACGAGCTCTTCGGATGACACTGTCCAAGAACTAAGGACAACATTATATTAAAGAATACCATAACATTATTACACGGTTATTTAACCGTGTATTAAGGATTGATTCGACTAAATACTATGTTAAACCAGAGTAACTAACCCTCGAATAATTTTACTCTTTGGACTTACACCAAGATTTTATTAAAGATTTTATTATTATTTATTTTGCGTTTTATAACACAAACGTAGAGAAGCTAATACTGGCTATTGTTACTCCAGAGTTGGTAGTTGGTGGTAGAGTTTATTCATTTAAACAAGTAAACCAACTTAAACCAAAATACATCTGTTGTAAAGCGCAATCCAAGATTTGAGGTCCACATAATTTGCCGTAAGTGTAAATAATGCCGCGCAATGGCAACCCCTCCTTAGTTGCTGACTTCTCCCCCCGTTTTCATTCTCAGATAAGGCGCACCAGAAACAAGCCACACTGCCCTTCGCGTCCTCTAACTCCACCTGCACTATAGCCTCCCCGAGCCCGATATGTGAATGGAGCCAGGGAAAAATATCACTTGGAAGCATCAAGTGGTGCAGCTTCACCAAAGTCACGAAAGATAGTCGAGTGGCGCATTGCCAATTGATATACCAACACTCCTCTTCCCTTACGACTCCACCTCGACTACAGCGATACAGGGAGAGGAATCTCCTCTAGCCGCAGGCCACTAAAACACATACAACGTGGCTCGACATCATCAGGCGACCTTTCGACACTTGGCTATGGCCCTTGAGTTTGGTGAAAAATGAGGAAAGAAGAAATAAAAAAAACATTCGAAATAATAATCTAATACTTTTATATTTACTGGTACTGGTACTAACAGAAAATATTGTCGGTATACTGCACTTTTTCAAAGAGTTCTCATGTCTAATAAAACAGTCTTCTGTGAAATGTTTGGAACAAATATTATCATTTTGTTTCAGACGCCAACTCACAATATATATGCTTTTAAACCTTAATTTTAATCTAGGTTCACTTGGAAACCTGTTAATTAATAAACATTTGATAATCGTCTGTTGTTGGCGACTTTGTTTGTTAACAGATATGGGTAGGAAAGAACATCGATAAGTATTATAGACAAGGAACTCGACAACCCTATTTAATTTTATTGTTTATCAAACCTCAGTAATATACAGCCAAAGATGTTGGTATATATGATATTAAGATTAGTTAACAAATTTTTAAGTACTTGTATTATCAAATAGTTTTAATTTGTTTAATATTTGCTGCAAATTCACTTGTGAAATGTTATACCACTTCCTTTTTGGTTACGAGTTTTACAGATTACGCACACTCTCGTTATTAATAAAAATAATTCTTTTTATGTAACTAATATTATACACAATCAAACTACATAAAATACTTTCGTTTTTTTAATTTAAAAGTTCAAAATGCAGATTTATTAAATAAGACAATTTAAATATTACAACAGACTTTCGCATATTATGTCAATTTTATTTTTCAAGACATCCTTTAGCGGCGCGTCAATATCTATGGTATAGCCAGTCCAGCGTACTTGTATTATAGAGGTCAGTGTACAGACAGTACCTGTCAATGTCACCGACCTAATTAGTACATGCCAATAAAGTAAGATATTGACAGGTAATGTTTGTACTACTAAGAAATTCAGGACTTCATAGGCGTGATTTTTACTGACAGCTGTCGCAGAGATCAAGCTATCTTTTATGAACCTATGAACCATAGTAGTCTGTGGCACGTCTGTGGCCATGGAGGTTAAAGAACAGGAGAAGCCCGCCTGTCCTTGAAAATTGTGGAATTTATAGCGGCACTGACGTCTGTGAGTAGTGACAGCGAAGTTAGCTGTTTGTGAGTACAAGTAGATGAAGTTATTTGAATAATGTACAAACTTTCTTCGCGGCATTGTCGAGAAAATTTTCATGCTACACATTTTTGTAATCTTTGACAAAAAGAAACATTAAAAAATGGAGAAATATTTTATTGTGCGTGGATGTGCAAGTGGTTTAGCATCTAATCGGAAAAATAGACTAAAAATGACTTTTATTGAGCAAATTAGCACTTATGGTGTCCATATTTCTGGGACACTATTTTCTACGGCGATCGTTCTCCTGTTCTCTAACCTTCATGTCTGTGGCTCTCTCATGGAGGTTAGATAACAGGAGATCGATCGCTATGTGATAAGGCATAGCTAGCCTCTCCCTGATTTACAGCCGCGCTGCCGTCGGTAAGTACCTAGTATCTGCGAAGTAATTTTTGACTATTGACAAAAAGAAACGTTATGAAATGGTGAAATATTATTATAAAATAAATAATAATAAATCAATAATAATTAATAATTTATATTTGTAAAATTTTTAATAATTAAAATTATAAAAAACATAATTTATAATTTATTTATTAATAAATAGTAATAATTTATTTATTTTCTTTGAATGATATTATAATCATTTTAAACAACAGCCCGCTTTTATTCAGACAATTTAGCTATATCAGCGCCTCACTTATTTTGTCCATATTTCTGGGTACACTATTTTCTACAGCGATCGTTCTTCTGTTCTCTAACCTCCGTGCGTTAATGTGACGACATAGGTCTGTCTACGGTGCACATCGTAGACACTAGACAGTAGGTTTCTCTGTCTACGGTGCACATCGTGCACAGATATTGTGAATGTAGACAGAGAAACCTTAGAGGTAGGTTTCTCTGTCTACTATTGTGAACCTGACCAAAGAGTATATAATAATTACTACGTTTACTACGGATGTCGATAAAGAGAAAGAGCGTGATTATATTCAGTTAGCTTGCTACGTATTTATTTATCTATGTATTCAGTAACCTATGGAGATTTCATAATGTCATAAATTATCAATCAAGGATTTATCTTGAATCTTGAAAGTTAAATTAAAGAATAAAGATATATTTTATCTTTAATTAAGCTGACTGACTGGTTGTGACTGTGATCAAGATAAAGTTATTAAACGTATATATATATATATATATATATATATATATATATATATATATATATATATATATATTCTTGTGATTTGTACATAAAATGTATTAATTTTATTGAAAAATTTTATATACATAATTGTAGCTGATATTAAGGTAAAAGCAATTGTGTACATTTGACATTTTTTAACTAACGATGTCGTGGCCAGATAATACTAACGCCTTAGACAGGCAACTAGCTGATTTACAATTAAGTAAAGATATCAACTCTCATGGAAAAGTAAAAAAGATACCACCAGCTGTACCGCCAAAAAAGAAAGCGCAACCGCAAGTTCCACACAGCGCTATGGTCAACAAACTTCGAGAGCCATCTTACTCTACAAAAATCTCACCAGCAATAAGTAATAACCTTCCTCCAAGCAATATTTTATATACTAATGTAAGACCAATACACAAGGAATACATAAATGTAAATCGTCATTCTACTTCTCAACAGCCTCTCAACTCTACATCACAAGTAAAAGCTGAAAATGCAATATATAGTAATGTAATGGGATATCAAAATAACCCAAATAATTCATTACCCCCTCCACCACCACCACTCCCTCCCCTCCACATGACAGATCCAATTTTGTATACTACACCCTCCTTTGAAAATAATACTGAAGAATATTTGCCTCCCCCATCACCAGTTAGTTCCAACTACAGTGAATTAGTGAGAGCTACTGCTAACCTTAATTTTCACCAAGAGAAGCCGACATATCCTCCAATATATCAAAATGAATATCCTGAGTATGGTGTTTCACAAGCATCTACATATGAATCACTTTATGAACAAATAAATGTAAATACACAAGAGAGTGTGCAAGGTAAAAATAACAACTTGTCACATACTAAATCTAAGTCACCGTTGCCAAAAGAGGAAGAAGTTGATGCACTTACCAATCTTCTTGTTCAATCCATTTCTGATAGTCAGGATTTAGACATTTTTGGTATGTGCATAAAATGTAATGAGAAAGTGGTTGGTGAAAGCTCTGGATGTACTGCAATGGGCAACATGTACCATGTCAAATGTTTTTGTTGCTACCAGTGCAATACAAATTTACAAGGTAAGCCATTTTATGCTGTAGAAGGACAACCCTATTGTGAAGTAGATTATTATGAGACTCTGGAGAAATGTTCAGTTTGCAATAAGCCAATTCTCGATAGGATTCTCAGAGCTACTGGAAAACCATATCATCCAACATGTTTCACCTGTGTTGTATGTGGAAAGAGCCTTGACGGCATACCATTTACCGTTGATGCAACAAATCAGATTCATTGTATTGAAGATTTTCAACTTAAGTTTGCTCCGCGTTGCTGTGTTTGTGAATTGCCAATAATGCCAGAGGAAGGTGAAGAAGAAACAGTACGTGTTGTTGCATTAGATCGGAGTTTCCATGTCCGTTGTTACCGTTGTGAAGATTGTGGTCTCATGTTGTCTTCTGAAGCTAAAGGACATGGATGTTACCCTCTTGATGGTCACATTCTATGCAAAACCTGTAATGCACACCGCATTCGTCATCTTACTAAAGTTATGACAACAGACCTCTAAGTGCTTTGTAATTTGTTATAACAGTTAAATCTATCAATTTAAAAACAAATTGTATACTTGGTTAAACAATCTTATTAGTATTCTTACAAAAACCTGGACTGGGAGATGCTATTTTTCCCTTTCTATTTCACTTTTAGAAAATTTATTAAAAACTCAACCACAGTGCCAGCTATCAGGTCTAAATTTTGTGATTTCCTATTTTGGCACTAAACCTTCTAATACTTAGTGAATAATAGTCATTTTGATTAAAAAATATAAATATGGTTTTTAACTTGACTACAGTGCCACCTATCATTTACTAGCAGTTCTATACAATGGGCTGACCATATAGCATAAAGAACCGAAAACAGATGAAGATGGAAAGGTTCACATGTGGCAGTATAGTTCCGGTAAGCTAAGTTTGAGGAAGTAGTGTAATAGAATATGGTATTATTTACTTATAGGCAATCTTGCCATTCTTAATAATCTTATTAACTGATAGTTTGAGTATTGTTTGGAGGTACTTTATATTTTTACTAAAAAGAAATACTTTTAATACAAAAGAAATGTATAATTGCATGTTTATGTTCTCGGAATGACTGACATTTGTAAAAAAAAGTTCATACATATATTTATTATATAGAAATTCCAAATTGCCTTCAATTTATTGAAAATGTGATAAATGGTTATAAGTAATGTTAAAGCATTATAAATGCAAATAGACTTACAAGTCCCTCTAAAATAATTTTGTATGTTTAAGACATATTGTAAACAAATCATGGTTGTTAAATTATTTATAAATAAATATTTATATTATTTTACTGTCTATTGCTAAATCCAATTTATCTACTATGCATTGGTCTCCTGTTTTGCTCCAAGTGATTGTAATGTCCAAAATGTACTTTATGTAAGGGCTGCATCGGGACCTCCACGTGGTCTGTTGATAGTAGTTGATAGTAAATGATAGTCAATACTGGGAAGTTGATAATTGATAGTTTATTGATAGAAACCACTAAATCTAATTTAATGATAGATGGGAAATGATACTGTGAGCACGTGTGACCGGTATTGCTGGGCTCAATTAGCGCAACTGACTCAAAATGCATTATTGTAGCATTATAGCGTAAACTGCCGACGCCACAAAAATGTACGTGCTGCAGCCCGTACATGCTCCCGGGCTGCAAGATAGAGAGTCATGAAGATGAGATGAATTTAAAACTAATTACAAGGTGATAAACATTTTGGCTTAAAACTAGTTACAAATGAGTGATGCAAAATAAATAATAACAGTGTATTTAGACACCCGTGTCTGTGATAGTAAACACCGATTGAAGCACTGGTGAGGTGCCACGGTTTTGTTTTTGTTTACGCGAGTTCTTAAATTTTTCATTTAATTCGCTAGTAATGTCACCACTGTTACACTGCACTGCACTTGTTTGCAACTCTACATCTACAAATTGCACTCCACTATTACATTGCACTTCACTACACTTATTTTGTACGCGATCGCGACCTGCCCGCCTCTGCGCTCGCCGCACGCGCCGCCACACGTAGAATCCTCCGAACACTCCAGCCGTTATAATCACCAGGTAGAGGACGGTGTAATGGTGAATGTCGTGATAGGATACACCTGCTGCTAACGGCTCAGTCTGTTTCATGACATCCAATTGTTCTCGTATAGCAAGCAGTTGTTGTTGGCTGATAGTCTCAAAGCTCGTGCTGGCGTTCATCTCCGGTATCGAGATATTTATTAAATGATTAATCGAAGCGATCTTCGGTATACCAATGTCGGGCTTTAAATTAATTTGAGATGCATCTGGTTCGTATGCATAAAAATGGAAATCAGCTGATTTGATAAGGGAGTCCTGTCCCAGCGTAATAAGTCCGGCGTCACGCAATTGAATAGACGTAACTTGATCTTCGCATAACAACTTGATGTAGCATTTATTACAACAGAAATAAAAGTAGTTATTGAGTTTACTTGTTGCAATGAAAATATTTTTACAGGTGTTAATGATCGTTCTACAGCTTCCAACTCCTTCATCCTTCTCACACAAACTCTTATCATTGATCATATAATAAATAGGCTTCTTGAATCGACACAACACAGTATTTAAATCGCGATCAATGCAGTCATGTAAATCAGTAAACGATAGCGATATAAACGATTCCTTTTTTAAGTTTAAAGCGAAGATATTCGCTAATAGGGACAATGCTGATCATGTTGTTGTTTAGGTATGGGGATTGCTTTAAGGACTTCGTAAGCGTCTCGTGCTAATAATGGTATTCGGATTTCGAAAATAAGAAAGGACTTCGATAAGCGTGCTTTTACATTAAGTAATTTGTATATATTTAGATGCTATAGATAACTCATCTCAGATAAAGTGCCACTACATAACGGTCCCAGAGGATTGTAAAGACGTTCTGTCTAGATTTTCATTTAGGATTTTAAGCATGAACATAAGAAGCATGCGTAAAAACTTTGATAATTTCCTAGTAACCCTAAAGAGTTGGATCTTGATTTCGACGCTATTGTCTTCAGCGAGTGCTGGCTTAATGAGTTTGTGACGGTCCCCCTATTGCAAGGATTTACATCATTTTACTCTCAAAAGTATATTAACAGGGCAGGAGGAGTCGCTATCTACATAAGAGATAGGTGGTCAGCCAATTTTTCTGAGCTGAACGTTGACGAGGGTAATGGCAATGTTCACTGCCGATTTCTCACGCCAGATGGCGTATCATCGACATTCGACATGGCCATTGAGAACTGTCAGATCCATACGTTTAATAACCTACCATACTGTTAATTTTAGTTTTCTCGAAATATGCCTCTTTGTGCTGTACCAGGATGCGCTAACCCCGGTGTACATTTATTTCCCAAAGATCCAACATTAAAAAAAAAGTGGGAAAAGGCTATAAGACGCAAATATTTTGTAGCGACACAGCATAGCAGGTTATGTCGGAATCATTTCCAAGAATCTGATTATGTGGGAGAATCAGCCTACACAGGTATGTTATTTTGTGTTTATTTCATTTATTATTATTACTTACAGACTCTACTAGCGGTTTTTCGAAATTTGAACCACTTGCCCAAAGACCACTTATATAGACACTTTGTTTAAGTTTTTGCGAACGAAATCCCAGGTAAAAGTTAGGAAGTAAATAAACCAATAATGAACCAATAATGTATGTAATGTATGCCTCCATACATCAGATTATGTTGTGTTAAATTCATAATATCTATTTTATTCATGTTTAAGGTAATCTGTACTATGTTTCTCAATTTTTGTTGTTTACAGGACATCCTCAAATATGCAAATTTCTGAAAAAGGGAACTGTACCAAGTATATTCCCTTGGTCCACCCAGGTGTCAACAACACCTACATCAAGAACCAGTCGATATATGAAAAGAGGCAGACGCATAATTGGTTTCAGACAACCATCTGTAGAAGAAAGTATTCCAGAACCATCTTCTAGTGCTGAAATTGAAATATCTTCTATAGAGGGCTCCTTAGAAGATTTTACTCAAAAAACTGTGTCTGTTGGCACTCAATGTGGTAGTTCTTTCGGAATCTTATCACTAGAGGCCATGAGAGGCAATCCGCAGGCTATTCATTTTTATACTGGGCTAGAAAAATATGAAAAATTCATGTTGGTGTTAGACACATTAAGTCCCATGTGTAATAATTTAAATTACAGGGGAAGTAAAGTTATCAATGTTTGTATTGGTGACCAACTGTTGATAACACTAATTAAGCTGAGAAGGTATTTGCCAGATTTTGAGTTGGCATTTTTATTTGGTATTTCCCAAACTACTGTTGCTAACATTTTTGTAACATGGATTAATTTTATGTATGAAATATGGTCTTTAGTTAATATTTGGCCAAGTAAAGAATTGGTTCAATATTATATGCCAGAGTCATTTAAAAGGGGTTTTCCAAGTACAAGGATTATTGTGGACACAACTGAAATACCCATCACACGGCCTGGGAATCCAGTAGCACAGCAGGTGACCTTCAGCAGTTACAAACACAAAAACACTGTGAAGGCTATGATTGGAGCAACACCTGGAGGTCTTATATCATATGTCTCTGAATGTTATGGAGGTTCAGTCAGTGATAGACAGATCATAGAAAGATCCAAACTAATAAATGTGTGTGACAGTGGGGATTCAATCATGGCAGACAGAGGGTTTAATGTGCAGGATATTTTTGCATCAAGAGACATTACTATTAATATACCAATGTTTTTGAAAGGAAAAACACAATTACCAGGTGTTAGAATAATTCAGGATCGAAAACTAGCAAGCAAACGAGTTCATATAGAGCGTATAATAGGTCTAGCTAAATCATATAAGATTTTAAAAAGTGAATTGAGCCCTTATCATGTACCGCTAGCATCTAGAATTTTATTTGTTTGTGCTATGGCTTGTAATTTTAGAGAAAGTATCATGAAATAAAAGCTTTTTTACAACTGTTCATATATTTTATTATAAAGTCTTAAAAAACAACATAAACACGCATATTATCCAGAGGGGTAATCAGAGACTACAGACTACCATTTGACACGATCCTGACACACCTCTCTCACCTCCTTTACATCCATATACATACACTCATACATGCTCATTGGTTACGGGTACTGCTAATCTGGCCCATTTTCAATATATTGCCAATTTGGTTGACAAACCTTAGTCTAGAGTGTACCTTACCGACTCTGCTGTTCACATTTGCAATATTTGATTTGCGTTGTCACTCCTTGTTTATACATAAACAAACCACTAAAGCATTCCTTACTTAATCCTGGTCACAGCATCATATTTTAAAACACACTTATCACACAATCTCTCACCCCGTCATTCAGATTCAGCCGTAGCATACTCCCATATATTATAAAATCTTAATCCTTATAAAAATATTTTTTGGTTACAGCATTCTTAAAGAAGTTGTAATAAAAATAATCAAGTTTTCTCAACATATCTGTAATGAACTGTTCATCACGTTCAATAAATATTACTTTTAAAGTTTTATAGGTAAAAACTAATAAATTACAAAATCTTCTTTTTGTTACATATAATTGCCCTTGAATTTGACAGTAATAAATATTAGTTTTTTTTAAAGTAAGTTGTTCATTGTCATCAAATTGTAGGTAAGGTACTGTAAGAGGACTGATTTCTTGGTTTCTGGAAGCATAAGGACATTTTACTTCAATTATTGTTTCTGATCCTAGTAAGCCATCTGGAGATGCTCCTAGATAAGGTCGTTCCTGAGACAAACACAATCCACACTCTTCAACAACCACCCCATAAATCTCCATATATTTTTTAATGGCTATTTTTTCATTAATCATCTCATGTGCCATCGCTCTTGTTTGTACTAGATTTTTATTTAATATTTGGTTACAATATTTTACTAAAGTTTCACTTTTCAAATGGCACACAGTGTGAAATATACTTGATGTAATACGGGTTTGTCGATACTCATGCCACTTTGGATTGGAACTTTGTCCTCTAGTCTCCATTTCGATTTCCACTAATCTGTCTTCAGTTAAATTTAGTAAATGAATGGATTCTAAAAAAATATCCTGTGCACTTTTTTCCATATATTTATGATCTAAACATATTGCTCGTTGGTTAGCTGCTGGAAATAATTGTTTTAAGGGCATCGATGAGTGTGGATAATTTAAAATCAGGGACTGAAACCTGCATTGGAATGCCTTTTTATCAAAATGAGGGTTTTGTTTTAAATATGGAGAGTAAACAATGTTATGTATATCCCTTTTGGATGTCAACCTGGAGGCTCGCAATGGTGTGGCATAATATTTTTTTGTTGGCTTATGAAACGTTTGAAGTTGTGATGTCGAAACTTCATGTAGCAGTATTATTTTTTCCTTAACAATATTTTCAGCAGCAAGAAGTACCACAGCTACATGTTTACAATGGGCTTCTTTGCCTTCTCCTGCTGCACATTCACATGTTGCTTCTTCAGGCATTCCATCATTATTTAATTTGATGTTTACCTCATATTGTAGTTGTTTCATAGATGCTTTGCAAAAACCTGGAAGAAGTATTTATATGTTCATATTTAAACGACAAATATATTACACATCAATTTTAGCCTAGCCATCTATTTATTTTTGATACATCAACCTTTATTATCTGGTGAACCTACCTTTTAAGTATGTATCTTCAGCAAATGTTGTTGATCGCAAAATAAGAAGGTATCTCGATTCATACAACTTTACAGCATCACTGATATTTCTATTGAATCTGAAATAAAAGTATTATGTTAAATATCAAGAGAAAGTTTATAACCACATTTTAATAAACTTAGTGAACAAATAATCTTTAATATTTATATAAAACGTTAGAAACAATTATTACCTACCTATCAAAATAACATTGAATATGTTTTTTGGTAATCTTTGGCAATATCGTGGAGCTATTAACGTCCTGGTAAAGTTCAACAGCAGGAACATCAATTGCTTGACTTTGAGAAGCTGGAGGGCTTTGATTGCCGAAATTAAAATTTCGGTCATATGATTCTAACCTAAAAGAAAAAATACCATTTATTATTGGAGTAATGTTCTTTGATTATTCGTAAATTTTCCTAACATTAATCAAGAAATAATTAACACGTTCCAATCAAAACTAGCTCCAAATCTTTAACATGTATATAAGTGTACAGTTTTATAATATTTTAGTAATACAAGCCTACCTCTCCACAAGATCTGCTTTCTTTCCAGTTATCTTCGCTCCTCGTTTTTTTAGTTCGTCTTTCAATTCTTTAAGCTTCCAGGTACAATACATCTTAAAAATTATCGATGGTTAACCAGTTTCAATATAAAGAAAAGCAAATTCTCTTTATGTAAAGTATTCTACAACAATTTGACAGCAGCCATGGCGCCGCTGGTGCCCTCTACGATTAGCTTTGCATGTGGATCCCCATTGTATTCTCGCAGAAGTTGCAAATCACTTCTCAGTAGTAGCCGCTTACAGATCACCTAGTTACACCAACCCAGAAATATTTATTCGCTCTCTTGACGCTAACTTAAAAACGGTTAGTCCCTCTCCTTGTCTTATTTTTGCTGGAGACATAAACTTAAATATTATTGGGTCTGCAGCAGACATAAACTTGCACACGGAGTACTTAGATGTATTAGCAGAGTACGGACTTTTTCCAGCTATAACCAAACCAACTCGGGTCAAAACCTGCATAGATCACATTTTTGTACCCGTAAAATCTAATGCGGAGTCCGTAGTCTATCTCAATGCTGCCACTGACCATGATATCACTATGGCAGGCATAATGTTAAAGACACACAAACCAAAAAGACCAAAACCTATTCGATCAAGAGTAATAGTTGACACAGACTCAATAAGATCAGAGCTGGAAGGAACGGACTGGTCAACAGTAATAAACTGCAGCTCTCTTGAAGAGTCTGTTACTCATTTTACTAAGACGGTATCAGAGGCAATATTGAGATATTCAAAAACTCGTGTAATAAGCCGCTTCAGAACTACCTTACACCCCTGGATGATTTACCTTACCTCCTGGTTTAATCAGATGCTCTAAACACCGCGATAAGCTTCATATAGAATATCGCAAGGACCCAAACAACCCAACTAAAAAACTTATATATACGCGCTATAGAAATTTTTACATAGATCTAATTAGAAGACTAAAACGTGATTACAACAAAAAAAGAAATAATCAAAAATAAATATGCTCCAAAAAAACTCTGGGGTACTATTAACCGCATAACTGGCAAAGACACTAGCTCAAGTTCTCCCCTGGCTCTCATCAACTCAAGACCCTCCGTAAAAGAGTCTCTCAATGTTTGCAACTCCTACTTTGCTTCTGTAGGTAATAAGCTGGCAAACTCTATCACGCTGAAATTAAATGAGACTCAAGAGTCCCTTGCCGAAAAAGTTCACATTCCTGATCAACCCGTTGGTTCATTTTTCATGAATCCTACAGATGAACTGGAAGTTTTGGGTCTCATCCGGTCTCTTGATTCAGGTAGTGTGCCTGGTATGGACGGCATCACTAACAAACTTTTAAAATCAGTGGTCCACACAATCGCGGTGCCCCTGGCTGCGATATTTAACTTAAGTATCTCGTCGGGAGTCTTCCCAAGCTAGTGGAAAGTTGCGGCAGTTACCCCCATATACAAGAATGGAGCTACGGACGATCCTTGTAATTACCGACCCATATCACTCCTGGGTTACTCGAAGCTCCTGGAACGTGTTGTCCAAAAGCGGCTGACTAACTATCTTGAAAAGAATAGCATACTCTCGGACCGTCAGTTCGGTTTTCGCCAGGGAAAATCAACTGAGGACGCAGTAACTCTTCTCACAGATATGGTTGTAACTCATCTCGATCAGGGTCGATCCTGTGTCGGTGTTTTTCTCGATCTGGCTAAAGCATTCGACACGGTATCCATCCCCATCCTCCTTAAGAAATTAAGTGCTCTTGGGATTCGTGGTCTAGCTCTAAACTGGTTTTCCAGCTATCTGTCGGATAGAAAGCAATGCGTCCAAATAGGCGATCAGGCAAGCGATCTTAGATCTGTAGATTTTGGTGTTCCTCAAGGTAGCATCTTGGGGCCGACTCTTTTTATTTCGTACATTAATGACATTATGTCAATTCAACTTGAAAATAGTGAGGTTGTATGTTATGCTGACGATACAGCCATAATATTCTATGGTAAATCTTGGTACGACGCCTATTTTTCAGCCATCTCCGGGTTGTATAAATTACAAAAATGGTTAAATAACAACATCTTAACACTGAACACCTTAAAAACGCAGTTAATTTGTTTTCATAAAACTGTAGCGTCTGAACTGCCACCCTCACTTTTCAATAGCCTTAAAGTACACAATGACAACTGTAGTTTTCGCTCCGTGAGCTCTCCAAATTGTAACTGTGACCAGATAAGTAGGGTCGGCTCCCTTAAATATTTAGGCATTATAATAGATGAAAATCTTAACTTTAAAAGTCATATACCGATGACATCAGCCAGGGTCCGTAAGCTGATACACACGATGAGACTATTGAGAGATTCTACTGATGGCAGCATTTTAAAGTCCGTCTACCTTGCACTATGTCAGTCCGTACTTAGCTATTGTATACTGGCGTGGGGTGGTATATCCTCCTCTACGTTGATAGTACTGGAAAGGGCCCAGAGGGCAGTTTTGAAGGTAGCTATGGGTAAACCAAGGCGCTATCATTCGTCAGATCTCTTTAGAGAAGCTCAAGTTTTAAGTGTCCGTAGATTGTATCTTCTGAGGGCCTTTACATTTATGCACAGGGAAGCTTCAAAACTGCCGACGTTTAATACATTAATAAATAAAAGAGTGTTTAAGATCCCCACAACCTTAGTTAAAACATCTTTCGCACGTCATTTCAGACTGTTCCAATTTCCCTCGCATCTACAACAAATTAGTCAACTTATACG